TGCGAGCACCCACGACGCCTTTAGGGACGCGGTTGTCACTTTCTGCTGGGCTGTGAGGCCTCGCACCAGGATCCTGCTGCTGTGCGCATAACCTGCTGTCAGTGCTTCAATATTGCGCTTTCGTGCCTCTGTCTTGGGGGGAAAGGCCACTTTGAAGGTGTCATGCTTCGTCTCGTGGTGCCGCTTAATATTATATTCTTTGCAAGCAGCCACAACTTCATTGCAGATAAGACACAACGGCTTTGCATTGATGAAACCAGGTAGGATGAACGCATAGTTCGCTGTCCATTCCTCTTTAAATGCCCTGTTTTCACCGTCAACTTTCCTCTTTAGACCTTTGGAGAGTGACATTACTGCTTTGGATTACTGGTCTGGGGGAAGCTCGCGAGTGTGTGTGTGTGTGTATGTGTGTGTGTGTTTGTGTGTATTGTGTTTGTTTCCCGGGGAAAACACACACAAGAAACACCGGCTGTTGTTACGCCTGCTGTGACGTTAAGTTACTCCGTTCTCCGTTTGTAATTATGCCGTCACAAGCTTCAAAGTTGTATTTATCATCTGAATTTGCCGAAACAAGTTTTATATTCTGAAAGCCAAGACTTTGTTTATTTGAAATCAGATGAAAACAAACTGTAACGGACCCTGCCGTGTTATCTATGATCACTATACGCTTACATTCATAATTTCAGCCGGAGGGAGGGGAAGCGGCGCTTTGGAAGAGCAGAGTGGCGAGTGAGAGCTGTCATCTTCCCTTTACAAGCTTCAAACATGTATTTATCGTGTGATTTTGGAAATAAAAGTTTCATATTCTGAAAGCCAAGACTTTGTTTAGTTAAAATCAAACAAAACACCCGAACCCCGAAAAACGAGTTTTTGACGCAAATCCACGTTTATTTTTAAATGAGCCGTTGCGACTTCCGACTGATTTCGATAGAGCGGGTCACATATGGCAAATGTGTGGTTGTGGGGAACCAGGTAAATTAAAGTGTTGATGGGGAGGGTTATCAGCGATATCAGAGTTTTTTCTGAACCAGGGAACAGGGGCGCTGCGCCCTCTTACCAAAATTAATTCCTTGAATTAGGCTTTGATTATGTTCTGGCCCGCCATCTAGTGGCTCAGAAAAAAATTGGCCCACGGCCAAACTTACTTGCCTACCCCTGATCTAAACTGATCATCCATCATTTAACCACTGTTTGTAAGATATATTTCATGATTGGAAGATCAAGTGTTATCAAGGGACATAGTTATATAGGTTTTAATGATTAGTTTGATAAATATGAAGCTTTTGCAAGCAGTTTGTTAGCTTAGCTTAGCGTAAAGACTAGAAAACAATGGGAAAAGTCGAACATTTTAGAAAGAACAGCATATTATACTATGACGAAAATATGAAATAAACGGCATATTAAGTATTAAAAAATGATGAGGAAAAACTGGCATAGTATAGTATGTAGACATTTCAGAACAACTACATAGTATAGTATGTCAAAATCATGAGAACAAATATGAGATATCAGGGCTCTGACCTCCTCTCTGTAGTCGTTTCGTCGCCGTCTGGGATCAGAGTATAGTTTGTCAGAATGATGACAAAAAACGGCATAGTATAGTTTGTTGAAAACATGAGAGAAAAAGACATAGTATAGTATGTCGACATTTTATAAAAAACATACAAGTATGTTGTAATTTCAGAAAAAATGTCATCGTACAGTATGTCGAAAAATGTATGACATATTTATGACAATTTTTGTGGCATGCTATACTCTTACTTGTTTTTTTGGTAAATACAAGAAAAGTATACTTTCCCTTATGCATGATGCACCAAACTATAAAATTGTTAAGTGTACAGATTTACATAAGTAACCTATTATGGTATAAATTATCCTATTTGAGAAAAAAAAAACGTACTTATTTGTTAAGGTCTAGGGCAGGGATGGGCAAATGGCGGCCCCCACCTCCTCTTTTTGCGGCCCTACATTTATAAACAACGTATTTAATAATACTTGTAGTACTGATACCGTCCACTAGACTCCTAGTTACGTTGTGAGCTGCGTACATGATTTCGTTAGGCAGCCAAATACCGCAAAATAATCTGTGACGCGTCTGTGTGTATTGTGTTTGTTTCCCGGGGAAACACTCACAAGACACGCCGGCTGTTGTTATGCCTGCTGTGACGTTAAGTTACCGCTTGTAATTATGCCTTTACAAGCTTCAAAGTTGCATTTATCATCTGAATTTGGCGAAACAAGTTTAATATTCTAAAAACCAAGACTTTGTTTATTTGAAATCAGATGAAAACAAACTGTCACGGACCCTAGACTCTCGGGCAATATATGAATGGCAGCACACCATCTCTATTAGTAAAACGTGTTCTCAATATGACAAAGCAAGTCAGAGAAAATGTAACTGCATATAATGGAGCCAATCATTATGCAGTACACACGTGATTAACATAAGGCAAAAAGTGGAATGAATATGAACATCACAGCTTTCTTATATTAATGCACTTTTACACACATGAAACCATGCTGCTTCATTTCCATTAACAGTTCATACTATCACACTCCTATCGCACATCTCACACGTGCAGCTGTTCTATTCAATATGCACATGTATTGGAAATTCCGAAAATCCAATTACAATATGAGCAGAGGTCAAGAGAGGGAACATGCACATAATGTGCCAATATAATGGGCATGAATATGCTCAATCACACCCGGGCTTTAAAAACATGTTACACGTTCTTAGGTCATTAAGTCAATTGCTCCAAAGAGACTCCACGCATATGATTTCCTCATGTAATGTGGGACTTTGATATACATACAACAGATATTGAGGGAGTATAGCTTTACTGAATAATCCATCCTTCTCTTTTGAGTTGTTCTGACTCTAAAGCGTCACCCTGTCTTTCTCCCATCCATCCCACATCAATGAGTTCTGCGTATACTGTAGGTTGAGATCTGAGCTTGAAGAAAAACAAAGGGGATGATAGAATAAGACAGCCTTGGGAAAATATACTTTCTTAAAAAAAGAGGGTGAGAAATCATATTCTATAGAGCAAACAGTAGACACGCATATATAAATATAAAAATGCTGGAGGATTTATTTTTCGAGTTCTTATCTGCTCCTCTGCACATCTCCTCCTTATGCTTTATATCTCCTCCCTCTTTATTTACCCTGATCTTTTTTGTGAAAGCCACAGTAATTTCTCCGGGGATTCCTGTGAGCCCTCTGCTCCAATGCCCATCTGGAACAACAGGCATTAATAACTTGCCCTGGAACTGAGTAATGGTACTGAACACACCACTAAGACGAATGGAGGGTCTTCTGCGTATCTCATTATTAAGCAGAGGTGTCCTGGGTATTGAATGTTTGGAGAGGAGGGGGGAAAAGTTCAGCAGTGTTTTGCATTTCTAACCGGCTGTTCTTCGCTTAGTAAAGTTCCAGTTTTATTGCGTAATAAAGTTGTATTGACCCAAAGACCTTTTTCAGCATAAGGACTCCAGCCGTATCATTATACACAAATGAGTGTGTGATTCATTTAGGTCTTAACACGTCGGAATCAATGCATGACCTATGAACCATAGTGTTGAATTAATGGATGTGTCTGATGATCAATACGGTCAACACATGCAAGGTCTGAGCTCTTTCTCTCACGGGGCTCATGGCCTCGCAATGGTGGAACGTCGATGATCACAAACACAAACAGCATCATTGATTCACATTGATCCGTCACACGGGGAATGAGAGGACAACTACTTATAAAGTTACTCACCGTCAAATGTTCACTGCACATGTAGGCGTTTAGGGTTGCCCTTTACAATGTTTTCTATTACTTTTTAATCCGCCAATTATTCATTTGTCAAAAAAATGTCATATGTTCCTGCTTCCATTTAACAAATCCCACTGACAAGAGGGGACCATGAGCAGGTTGGTCTATTTGGATCAGTCGGATATAAATCAGCTGTTGGGTGGATTGCATAGACTGTCAAAAACATTAACTCAACATCACATGACGAGCGGTAAAATGGAACTGTAATGTGTTTCAATGGAGAGAGCGCCGCTACCCACGGTGTTGCACAATGCTGGAAATTGTCACCAAGCGCTGGAACTTCAAATCATTTTAACTTTGACCAATCAATCAACCAATCAGAGGCCAGCAGTATGAAGCAACGCTAGCTAGCATGGGAGGTAACAAGAGAAACGTAATTTAACTAGCTTGTTCACCTTTAATGTCTAAGAGAACATTTTCACAGCAAGGCTCCAGGCTTTACCTCGCGATTAGCAAAGAGCAAATACACTTAATGCGAAGGAAACTTGAGTGTCCTTGACTTATGAAGCTAAACATGTGTGGCTCCAGCTGTTGCCATCTTGACACTCCCGGGCTTTGCTTTTTAATTCCAATGGTACCACAAAACGCACAAAACTGTAAACATGTTTGTATCTGTTGTAAAGTCGTGAATTTAAACAAGGGGTCTATGGGAAGCCAGTTGTATGGTCATTTTTGAAACTTTGGCTACATTTTTCTGTATTGGAGTTTGCAGCATGGTGGATGGTTTGACATTTGGTACAGGCCTTGCTGTTCTTGACAGGGACGAGTAGTGGTGATCCTTAACCCCTCATTCAGCAACATCATAAATTACAACTTCTCAATACCTGCCAAATAATTACACTACCATTAGTGTCAGCTGTTTGTTGTGTTTGGAGCCCATTCGAAAATCGCATTAAGCTAATGTGGCTCCCATGGTAAACATTTGAATGTACCCTCTATGCAGTACATCAGCAATTTGATAGTCATTGCATTAGCGATTAGCTCAAAGCGACGCTAATTGTTGTTGACGACTCATTTTCTTGAATGAATGATCTATAAAGTGTTCAGCATTATACATTTGTTGCCAACAACCGATGATAATCACAAACAACTTAAATACAAGCTCTTAAGCATTTCAATTCATGGTAACAAAGATAATTAAGTCTGGAAAAAGTCAAAGAAACTGAAGAGAAGGAGTAAAAAATAATTCATATCTTTAATAAAAAATACATTTATAACTTCGGCAGCATGAACTTCTCTTAAACATTTCCATCAACCCAGGAAGACAGGAACAATGAAAACCAACTGTACAGTAGGCATTTTAAAATAAAACATATTCAGGGAAGCACATACATACAAATGAGGAAGAAATGGCAGGTTGGATTGAAGGAAAAACAGCGACAATAAGAATGACTTTTTCTAACGTCAGAGTGTCAACACCACAACAGGAAATGTTGCTTTGGGTCGATCATAACACCACAAGGTTCTCTTCAGTCCTTCAGAACAACTACAGCAGCTGGGTACAAAACAAACAACATGGAGGGACTGTGGAGGCCTCATCAAGCTGTCCTCACGCACTGGTTAACAAGCAGCTTCACCACATCAGAGGGGGGGGATTGGCACAAATTGCATCTTGATCAGACAAACTTCCTAATATATGGAGGAAAACTGAAACATTTACTACTAGAAAAGGTGTTTTCTGTGCATTCATTCACTAGGGTTAGGGCAACCAGTGTAAACATTTTTGAGATCTGAATGAAATCAGAATTCAGAGAAAAAAGTCAGAATCCGACTATCTTCGGATTTCTCTTTTACTTTGAGTCAGATCTATAAAAGACTCCATCTGGCGCTGATCCTCTTCTGTAATTCCCTGGACAATGGGATCAATAAAGTTCTATCTTATCTTAAAATACATGGAGACAGAGATGAAAGTATTGATGGATGGACAGAATGAGAGGTTCTACAGCAGCCTTATTGCACACGGGAGAAAACAGGAGGTTGTCATCCAAAATCAGTCCTGTGCATTCTTTAGAAATATACACATTATTTTCCTAGTATTCCACACAGGTAGCAGGCCTGTTGTGGTTTCTTTATTGGAGTATCTGCCCAATCACATCGGGCTCAAACCTGTTATACTGGGGTTGAAGGGGCTGTTTGTAGCAAAGCATCTTTTTGAATAGGTGTGCATAGAAGTCACAGCATGTGGAGTGCCTTTTTATTTCCCTTCCTTCTTAGAGTCCAACAGACTGAATCTGGAGTGAAATGTCATGCCTGACAGTTTTTTTATGTTCATCGCCGAGGGGCAGTACTGTGACAATACCCAGTGAGAAAATGTATGGTCACGTCCAGCAGCGAGCTGACACGTCCTCACAGTTTTAAAATGATTACCCCCCCCAAAGCCGCAGACCGAAATATCACAGTTGTGGTTTTGAAGTGATGATTATGAGACAGGATCTGTGCCTGGGGGTAGATTTCACTTGCGTGGCTGTTATTAGCTGCCAACGCAGTGTGCAGAGACCCAGCTGGATGGAGCTGTCAGCTGATGTGCAGGAGTTATGTTCGTGCTTAGAGGGGAGGAGAGACTGTCTGAGGTGTAGTTCCCACTGCCTGCTCTTTTTATTTATTTACAGCCACATGTGGCAAGTCATGGATCAGTGTTTAGCTCAAGGAGAGATTTAAATAATTCAGAAAATGACCTTCCCAGTTATGGGTCCTCTCTTGTCTCTGAGCATTGTGTTCGAAATATATTAAAATAAAATATCAATATTTTGTAAATTAACACATTAGGTTTGTACCCTTATATATATTAGACAGTTTTGTGGGTCTTTAAATATGTGAATGTAACCACTTTCCTTCTTTTCTATTTAGATGTATTCTTATGATCTACGTTGTAACTGGGATGGTTTTACTTTTGTCTCTTAGAGATGTCAATACTTCATGTATTCTTAAAAAAGTACTGAGGATATGATCTTTATTTTTTACTTTAACAAAGTCTGAATGTTTCTTTTGCAGCAGCATTTTGTCTTTCAGTCGAATTTTCATATCCACAGCAGTTTTTATTACTGTAAACTATCGATAATATGTCCTGTAGTATAATACCTGTACAGCCCTTTAAGTATTAACTTTGTATTTTTCGTCCATTACTTGGCAGTGGCAATATCTGGATATAAGGTATTTGGGTTATATTCTGACACTGTTCCCTAAATGAGAAACCAGCTCTTGGCATATTTTGACAATAAAATGACCTTATGACAAAGTAAGGACCTTTTCTTAGAAGTGCCGCTGTGTATATTGTGCTCTTTAACTCGTTTTGGCCTTTTCAGAATCGCTTAAAACTGGCTATTAACTAAAAAAAGTCGGTCAGCAGGGAGAGGATCTGACACAGTAGCACCCAGCATCTGTGACTCTGTCATGATGGCACATTTCAGGCTGATCAAATGAAATCCAACTCACAAGTGTCTTTTTTTGTCTTTGAAAGTCAAAGTCTTCTTTTTTTACCCCCAGGATAAATTCCTTTGTCCATATTAGGTATGAACGGAGCCTTCATAAAGACTTTTCTCTGCTAGTTCAGTAAAAATGTGCGTGATCAAATAACAGTCTGCTGATTGGAGGTGGTCAGAAGCGTTAATGGGAAGGCTTCAGGAGCAGATTCACCTCCACTGATGATGTTTTTCTAAGGATGAAGTTCCAATCTGAGCTCAGCAGCTTGAGATTCCTGTCACCGTCTGCAAATATAAAGAAGATTTAGATAAGATTGAGGAAATCGTGAGATGATATGATATATCCTCCTAATTTCACTTGAATGATATTTGCATTGTCTTACTGGGAGGCTTTGAATGTGAGATGCATATTAAATTATTGAACGCTAACAAATATTTTCCCAATGTATATATCATTTCTATTGAAAAAGTTCAACAAAGCAGAGAAGTTTCTCAGTCTAGCTGCCAGATATGATTGTTAGCATCATAACAAGCATACCATCATTGCATCATACTGCTGCAAAACTTTTTCACTTAACTTGCAGTAGTGTAGATTTGGAAGATTCTCCAGCAAGGAAGCGGATTTTAAAATAACTTTTGAGCAAAGTCATAACTGATACAATGACATTTCCGGAAAGGACGTCTAAACATGTGGTCAATGAGCATTCACTCCACAATGACACAGATTTCCTCTCTGGACGGAGTATTACATGACGGTGATATGCGAAGTGACAACGCCAAAGAGTTTAAAAAGCTGGATGGATGGACAGTAATGTGTGTCCGTTATTTAAGAGTTAAGCTAAGGCTGTACCGGATAGTTCAAAGCGTCATCCATAATGACATTATTATAACATTCAGACTCTGCTCTGCTTTTTTATGCCTCCGAGCTGACCAGAGCAGTGGCTGGAGGCTTTATGATTTCCCGTCAGTCCCATTGTCATGAACACAATATCTTAGGAACGCAGTGATGGAATTTCTTCAAACATTTTGTGAAATGGCAAAATAGTTTTTTTTCACGTTTTTGTAACATACTATACAATTGCTTCTCTAAGACTTTGGGGGGACTTTTTTTGTTTGGCAAAGAAGACTTTCTGTACAGCCCCAAGGACAGCCGATCAAAAGTTGAAATTGGAAGTCATGACCCCCAGTTTAGCTAACAAAGCTCCAGAATAAAGTACCTTAGTCTTGTTGTGGATCCATAGTTATCTAACATGTGAGTGCTGGCCACCTCCAGGTTCCAATCGCACATCTCCAGCAGCTCACGACACTCTGACCTGTTCCTCAGACCCAAACAGAACAACTGCTCCACCTACAGAGACACGGAGAACAAACCAAGATGAACACCATTGTATGAAGAACCAGCAGTGGGGTGAAAGAGCTGTACTGTTTTAGGAAACACTCCTGCAGTGGGATTACAGCACCAGTAAGCACATTTGGAAATTATTTTAATCTTAGGTTAGCTAAGCCTACTGTTCAAACACACACTTCTGTTACTTTACCGCCACTATTAAGGAGCACTCAAGTGTTCCCTTTTGCCCACTGCCATCCAAACACATCTTCCATCCTGCCACTGTGGCCCCTAACGCATCTGAGAGGAGGCTGAATGCTTCTGTAGACACATCAGTGACTCTTTATGTTGTATTTATAGCCGGCTCTTTGCAGCAGCAATGACATGATTTCCCCTTAAGGTTCAACACAGTTGAACTAATCATAACTTTAGATGAACCAAGAAAGCAAACATGACATTAAGAAATGTTGAATGACTACAGAGAGGGACTCTGAGATGCAGTGGATCTCAGAACAGCAATGGTCACCCCTGAGGACTTAGCTACTTTATCAGTAATTGCACTGCTGCAAAATAAGCATCCACTTTTGGCATCCAAAGTGTTGTTTTGCCACCTCAGTTTGCCTTTCAAGGTTCAAGGTTCAAGGTTCTTTATTGTCAATCTGACATAGCTACAGAGTAATTATGCAGTTGAAAATCTTATGTCACAGGCTTCTCCAACAATGCAACATAATAACATAACATAATAACAATAAGAGCAAGAGCAATACAAAAATAATAATAGTTATAAAAATGAAATAAAGTTATGATGTGGAATAGTGCAGTATGAGTCTATATACAAGTTATTGGAATGATATATATATATTAGGTATTAGATACATACTACTGAGTAGCAGTTGAATGTTTGAAGTTGTTTCAACAGTTCAATTTTTTAACAGTCTCACTGCCCGCGGGAAGAAACTGTCTCCGAATCTTCTTGTCCTTGCCCGGATGCTGCGGTAACGTCTGCCAGACGGCAACAGAAAGAACAGTTTGTGGCTGGGGTGATGGGGGTCTTTGATAATCCGTAGTGATTTCTTCCTGAGCCGCTGGGAGTAAAGGTCCTCCATGGATGGCAGCTCCGTCCTGGTGATGTGCTGTGCAGTTTTCACCACCCTCTGTAAAGCCTTACGATCGAGGTCGGTGCAGCTGCCGTACCAGGCCGTCATGCTGCCAGTGAGGATACTCTCTATCGTGCACCTGTAGAAGTTGCAGAGTATCCTGGAATCCATTTTGAACCTCCTCAGCCTGCGGAGGAAGAAGAGCCGCTGTCGAGCTTTCTTGGTGATGGTGGTGGTGTGAAGAGACCATGTCAGGTCCTCAGTGATGTGGACCCCAAGGAACCTGAAGCTTTTGACTCTCTCCACCGTAGTCCCATTGATGGCGATGGGGGCGTGTCCCTCTCCCTGCTGCTTCCTGTAATCCACAATCAGCTCCTTTGTTTTGCTGATGTTGAGATGGAGGTTGTTCTCCTGGCACCAAGATGTCAGGTTTTCGACCTCCTCTCTGTATGCCGTCTCGTCATCGTCTGTGATCTGGCCGATGACGGTCGTGTCATCAGCAAACTTCACGATGGTGTTGGAGCTGTGTGTGGCCACGCAGTCGTGGGTGAACAGGGAGTAGAGGAGAGGGCTGAGCACGCAGCCTTGAGGGGCACCGGTGTTGAGAATCAGGGTGGAGGATGTGATGTTTCCCACCCGCACTGCCTGGGGTCTGCCCGTCAGGAAGTTCAGGATCCAGTCGCAGAGGGCGCTGTTGAGCCCGAGGTCTCTGAGCTTGATGGCCAGCTTGGAGGGCACAATGGTGTTGAATGCTGAACTGTAGTCAATGAACAGCATTCTCACATATGTGTTCCTGTTCTTCGGGTCCAGGTGTGAGAGGGCAGTGTGGAGGGTGAGGGCTATGGCGTCGTCTGTGGACCTGTTTGCTCTGTAGGCAAACTGCAGGGGGTCCAGAGATTCAGGGAGGGAGGAGGTGATGAATAATTTGACTAACCGCTCAAAGCACTTCATTATGATGGAGGTGAGTGCTACTGGGCGGTAGTCGTTGGGGCAGGTGATGATTGTCTTTTTGGGGACAGGAATGATGGTGGAGTGTTTAAGACATGTGGGGACTACAGACTGCAGCAGGGACCTGTTGAAGATGTCTGTGAACACCTCTGCCAGCTGAACTGCACACACCCTGAGAACACGGCCAGGGATGCCATCAGGTCCAGGAGCCTTGTGTGGGTTAACCCTTTTAAAGGATTTACACACATCTGCCCTATTTAAAACAAAAGGGCAGTGTAGCTCCTGGTCCCTCTGTACCTCCACAGCCTGGCTGCTCTCAAAGCGTGCAAAAAAACTGTTTAGCTCATCTGGGAGAGATGCGCACGCAGACACTCCCGCAGCACCCCCCGCTGCTCCTTTGTAGTCAGTCATTGTCCTTAGTCCCGCCCACATATTCCTAGTGTTACAGCCTTTGAAGTCAGATTCCACCTTCTCTTTGTACTGTCTCTTTGCATTTTTTATTGCTCTCCGGAGATCATACCTAGACTTCCTGTACTCCTCCAAATCTCCCGCTGTGTGCGCGAGAGTGCGCGCTTTCAGTTTGCCGCGCACCTCACCGTTTACCCAGGGCTTTTGATTTGGGAATGTCCGTACAGAAACCTTCGGTACCACGTCATCGATGCATTTCCCAATGTAGCAGATGACCGTGTCCGTGTGTGTGTTGATGTTGTTGTCCTCAAACACACTCCAATCCGTAGATGCAAAGCAATCCTGCAGTGCTGAATCTGACTCCTCGCTCCATCGTTGTACTGTCCTTGTTATCGGTCTGTCCCTTTTAAGTTTCTGCTTGTAAGCAGGCAACAACAGTAGTGAGATATGGTCTGATTTGCCGAAGGGAGGGCGAGGGAGAGCCTTATATCCATTCCGGAAAGGGGAATAAACATGGTCCAGTATGTTTCCCCCGCGCGTCGGGAAGTTGATGTGTTGGTAATATTTTGGCAAAACCTTCTTCATGTTGGCGGTGTTGAAATCTCCGGCCACAACGAACGCCGCATCTGGCCGTGAAGTCTCGGTTTTATCAATAAACCCAAACAGCTGATCGAGTGCCGTGTTGTTGTCGGCGAGTGGCTGCGGCGGGATATACACTGCTGTTATCACAACAGATGTGAATTCCCTCGGCAGATGGAAGGCCCGACATGAGATCATGAGGTGCTCTAGCTGTGCGGAACAGTCCGATGAAATAATCTTCACATCTGAGCACCAGTTGTTGTTAGTCATTACACACACACCGCCTCCCTTACTTTTCCCCGAGTTTGCAGTCCGGTCCTGACGAAAAATAGAGAATCCGTCAGGGACAATAGCGGAGTCCGGGATAGCGGGGTTGAGCCAAGTCTCAGTGAGAATTAACACGTTACAGTTCTTAATGTCCCGTTGAAAAGCAATCCGGCTTCTGAGTTCATCTAGCTTATTTTCAATGGATTGAACATTAGCCAGAAGAATACTCGGAAGAGGGGGCCGATTCTCACGTTTTCTCAGTCTGACCAGCAACCCGGCCCGGCATCCTCGCTTTGTCTTCTTCTTGCGTCTCTCAGGTAGAACAGCAACAGGTAGCCATGGTGAATCTCCATTGTCTGTCGGAGGGTTAATATTGTCCACGAAGTTTCGCAATTGGAAAAGTTCCTCTCTGCTATATTGTATGGCAGAGTAGGTGCGGTCGGCTAGCATGTTGCGAACCATGTTAAAAGTAAAACGTCAAAAGTAAAAGAAATATGTACAAAATACGAAAATGGGCAAAGTTGGAGAGGAGCACAAAGACAATGCGGCCATCTTCACCGGCGCATCTGACTCCATCTTGTGCAGCGGCGTACTTTTGATATAACAAAGTTACACTAATATTAGTTTTATTGCTCCTGACATTGCATCTAATCATTTATTTCATGCCTTGAATGTTAATTATTATAAGGTACTTCAATACTATGGACCAAAGAAAACTTACAAAAAACAGTAAAAGATTATCAGATGTATCCTTTGAATCTCCAAATACTTGGTAAAATAGAGAGAAGCTGTCATTAACATTAAATAACAAACATCTACAAAATGTGCAACACAGTCTCACGGCATTTCGTGTTATAGTCACGAAATTAATCTATTGATTCGTGTTCACCAACACGATTTCGCCATTTTTTTCGTGTCACACAGAACGATTTTAAAAGCAATGTAAATAATAACAAATTAGAAGGAAAAAGACATTTAAAAAAATACAGATTTAAGTATTCTGACACAGAACGATTTTAGAAGCAATGTATTTATATTGGTAGTATGTTTCGTGCCTGCACCAAATAATAACAAATTAGAAGGAAAAAAAGATGACATAAAATACAGATTTCAGTATTCTGAGGCTCTGAGCCCCATTTCTTTTCCTCACTGACGGCAAAAAAACTCAGACATTATACAATTTAAAATAAAAGGGATAGGGTTAGGCTTAGGGTAAGATATTGAGTAAGAACATGTTTTTACAGTATGAACCACACAGCTTCTGGTCTTCCAAGACCCGACCGGACAAAAAGACGTGTTGCAGGCACGAAACATACTACCAATTGAAATACATTGCATTTAAAATCGTTCTGTGTGACACGAAATTTTTTTGAAAATCGTGTTGGTGAACACGAATCAATAGATTAAATTAATTTCGTGACTAATAACACGAAATGCCGTGAGACTGGGTTGAAATGTGAGGGATTAAAAATCAAAGATCTAGTTATTTTGGTTCTTCCTAAAGAAATGCATCTGGAGATAGTGTTTTCAAGACAGATATGAACTTTCAAATAATTTAAGCTAGCTAACTTCATTAGCGTTAGCTGGACAGCAAAACAGCTTTAGCTACTGTTACATTAGTTAACACAGTGATACTACAGCAGATATAAGTGAACTTTTAAATACCATTAGCTAGCTAACTTTTGTAGTTTTAGCTCGATAGCTAAACTGCTTTAGCTAGTGTTACATTAGTTTACACAGTGATACTACAGTGGATATAAGTGAACTTTTAAATACCATTAGCTAGCTAACTTTTGTAGTTTTAGCTCGACAGCTAAACTGCTTTAGCTACTGTTACATTAGTTTACACAGTGATACTACAGCGGATATAAGTGAACTTTTAAATACCATTAGCTAGCTAACTTTTGTAGTTTTAGCTCGACAGCTAAACTGCTTTAGCTACTGTTTAATTAGTTTACACAGTGATACTACAGCGGATATAAGTTAACTTTAAATACCATTAGCTAGCTAACTTTTGTACTTTTAGCTCAACAGCTAAACTGCTTTAGCTACTATTACATTAGTTTAGAAAGTGATAATAAAGCAGATATAAGTGAACCTTCAAATACCGTTAGCTTTAGCTTCCTTGCAAGCTGAAAAGGCTTTGGCTTAGTGTTTTAAAAAAAAAATCTGTGTTTTCAGTTAAGCTAGCTATAGTATCAAAACTACAGATGCCCAGTATGAACAGCAGATGTAGGAAGGATTTTAGTGACCTGCATAGTGCATTAAGAATGTTCATACTCTGCTATTGAATGCACTCACCTTGAGATAATGCACAGCTTTTTGGACATTCCAGTTGTGGTTCTGGAGGGCGGCTTGGCACTCCTCTATCGTGACACCGTGAACTGCATCCTGCACCTGAATCACACAACGTCAACAGTGTAAGCAACATCCAAATACACTCATACACACTCCCCTCACTCTGATTTATAATTTCTTCATCACTTGATGGAAATTGTAACATTCATGACCAGGTCTTATTGTTGAGATCCATTTATTTACAGTTACAAATCTGGCATAGGAACACATACATGCACATGGTCTTGCTTCAGTACATGGACGACTCCACAACATAAATATCCTTCTTTTGTATTTTTGTTTTCCTTACTCTTGCTGTTATCTTTATGTAAGATTTACAGGGTTCACTCTGGTCGTCAGTACTAAGGCCCAGAGTGAATATTAGGGTTCCAATAATGTATTTTATTTCCCAGGGAGGCAGCTGTGATGATTTGAGTCCCGGAATGACCTTATTGTATCTCATAAACTGTAACCTCCCCAGTCGAGATATGACAGGCAGGAGGCAGAAAGTCCTCGAGCGGTTTAATAAGTTGAAACAGTTGGCCTTTCTAACCTTTTGAGAATAATGCGATTTGTTGAAGGTTTTCTTTGTGCAAATGTTAAATGAATGCCCAGCAAGCACGTAGCTGGACTTCATCCATATTCAGGATCTCAGAGAGTGTCTCTTCAAATACATCCCAGAGGGCCTAAACACAATATTGTTTTTCTTAAAAATATGCTTTCTTGTTGCCTTTTTTGGAACTTATCCAAGCTCATTTGTTTACTTTAAGCTTCACCTGAAGGGATGATAAGATCCACTGGCAGATTGATGAGGCTTTTTCAACAATACCCCATTTGTTCATGATGTTCTCCTGATTATGTTTATGCAAATTATATTTAAACTTGATCTAATTTTGACAAGATAACACTTAAACTCCCACTGTGTGATAACACTTTCGAGCAACATAGTCACTTTTATGTATTTGTTATTCAAATATTCAAATGTAATTGAAAGCTCTAATAAGACCACATCACTTTCTGCAACTTCTTCCACTATTATCTAAAGTGAATGCAGAGTTCATTTCTACTTCTGGCATTGAACTCCTCTGCAGTATATTCGACCCCACATCCACAGGGCATCTATCTCACTATCCACTACCAAGTGCTTGATCGATGAACAGCCTCTGGTGTTCAAAGTGATTCTGACTCCAGTTCAATTGGTGTCAGCATCAAGTGGCCGGCAAAAAGAAACCGATCAAACTTGTTACTTGGTTTTTTAATTCAATTCACAGCTAAGATTGATATGGCCTTTTTCCTCAAAGAACACCAGCATTATTTCAAATAAGTTATCAGAAGCTAAAGATTGTTGTGCCCTTTTCATTGTGATGGGAATTAAAGTTTTTTTTTGTTGATGTACTTTAATAAGTAAAAAGCTCTGAGCCCAGTCTGCTCTGATTGGTTAGCTGGCTGGCTCTGCTGTGATTTGTCAACCGCTTAGAGATGAGTCGCTCCTTAGCCTATCACGTACAATGTGTAGGAGCACAAGCTAATAGAAGCGGGAGTGTTACATAGTGATGCACAAAAACCTTTATAACACACTACAGGAAAGGGAAAACAAAAAACAAAAAGCATAATAGGGCCCCTTTAATATTGTAAATAGCTAAATGTTTGGATCAAACGGAGAGAAAAGATTTATACATACAAAATCACTTCAGAGAATGATCAAATAAATATACTATGCACCAAAATGTTTATATTTAGGTTGAGATGTAAAATGTATATTGACTATGAGAATTCAAAATTAGGAACCAAGCAAGTGTTGTATCAAAAAGGCACTGCACTCTATTACATTACAATTAAAGTCAATCCTACTGAATGACCCTGAACATTGCACTCATATTTTGTCTTGTAATAAGGAAGAATTACTCTCTCATACTAGTGATGGGAAACCAAGAACTGATGGCTATCTAGTTTAAGAGCTGTACTTTAAAAAAATCTCATTTAAAAAGAGAAAGCAATCAAAGTGTCATTAAGGGGGATTTAAGGTCAACCTTTTAATGGTGCTAAACTATCTATCATGAGGGAGAAAGTGACTGAGCTGAGCACTTTAATTAGTGAAGCAATAAATAACCTCTCAGCTCATGATATAAATCCTAAAATTATGCATTCCAAATGAGAGGTTTCAAAAGACATCCAAATATCTCTAATCTCACTTTTAGGTTTTTAAAAAACACATCCAAAGACACTTTTTAGGGGGAAAATGTATAGCACTAACCATTACATAACATAAGACAACATTACAAGGGACAAAATGAGCTTGAATAAAGAGTGTGATCATATGGAATTTTAAATATGTGTGTTTTTGGTTCTTGGGTGGTCGTCTACATATTTATTTTTAATTACCTATTTTTTTTTTGAATATATATTTCTTTAGGTTTTTTCTGTTGAATCTGGTGTTGTCATTTCATCATGCTGTTGTGTCCTATATGTATATCCTTTGCCCTTACTAAATTACATTTTTTTATTTATGTCTAACCTTACCATTTTGACCCTGTCGGCTGAGTTCCCTCCTCCGTCTGTCCTGATACAGGAAGCCGTGGGGACCACCGCTGCTGTCAGCCCCTCTGTACACACGCGAGGGAGACTGACTGATGTCTTCATCCCTGACCGGGGGCCCCCCAGACTGCTGTTGTTGTTGGAGGAGAAATTAGTCTTCAGCTCGCTTGGCAGGACGAGCCCCTGTCCCTGGGTGTGTCCCTGCAGAGTCTGGCTGCTGACCACCATTGGTCTCACAGTGGCCGTGTTAGCCTGTCGTACATGTCTCTCCTCCACGCCGCTGGCAGGCAAGCTCTCCGCCTCCCTGAAGAAGCGGTCGTAGCGGTCGAGGTACGGGGGCCTCTCTGGTAGAAGGTAATAGTGTGTATTGCTGACTTTACGTCCGTCACGCACTATCGGGAGGATACAGGGGCCCTTGCTGGCGTCCTTCCCCTGCGCCTGGATCACTTTGGGTGCAGCATATTTAGGATCCGAGGCAAAGCTGTGAGTGGTGGGCATGAGTTTACCTGGAGAGGAGGAGAGGTAGCAGCCGTATGTGTGTGCAGAGGAGGAGGATATGGGAGCTGGCATGGTGGTGGGGCTCGCAGAGTAGATTCTCTGCTGAGGGGAGCCCACCACCAGGCCCATGGGGCTGGGGGTCCTTGAGCCCGGCTGGGACAAAGGGTCCCTGGGAGGAATCTGAGGAGGGCGCTCCTGGGTCGAGCCTAAAACCTCCTCAGTGGTGTCAGCCGGCGTCGGTGACAGGGAGAGATCACGTGACCAGCGAGGAGAGGTGTAGTCGCCCCTCTTAATGGGGCGAGGGGGAATGGGGACACGTGGGGGGATCTGGGGTCTGTCCTCGTTGGAAGAAGGGATACTCTGCTGGTGTCCCTCCTGGGTCCACGACGGCAAGTTTGAGTGCGTAGTACTTCCTGTCGGGACGTTCAGCCTCCTCATGCACTCCTGCTGGAGCTCTTGGAAGATCTCTGCTGACTGCGAGAATGAGGAGGACAGGACCTGGCTCTGCCTGCTGGGGAGGAAGAGGTTGTCCTCAAAGCCTGATCTGTCCGGACTCCTGGAGACAAGACCCTCACCATCCACCTTCTGAGTCTCATCTGGGTCACCGCTCTGCTCCTCCTCCTGCTGCTGCTCCGAGCTGTTGATGGAGCTCACCTTTGGGGAGAAAGAATATTTAAAACTTTCTTTACAGATTAGAACCGGAGATAAACCATTTTTTGCATAATGTAAAATGTGCTGCGTCACCCCCTACCGTACCTCCATATCGTCTTCGTCTTGGGCTACATCGTCATATGCCGGGGGTGGAGGTAAGGGCCGGGCATCCCAGTCTACTACAGGTGTAGGGTGAAGGGGGCGAGGCAAGGACTTAGACGGACTCTGAGGCGGCGTTCGGTCCAGGAGGTTCTCTGCTCCCAAAAGTAGCTTCGCCAGTGAAGGAATCTGAATTTCAACCACAGGTGAGGGGGAGGGCGAGGGGAACTCTTCCCCAAAGTCAATGAGCGACACCTCGCTGTTGGGGGTGTGGCCTGAGCCTGAAGTCCGGCCGCCCCCCTGTTTGGAAGCGGAGACCCACGCAGCGGGTTTCAGTTTTAAGCCTTTGATGGAACCGGTTTTCCGAAGCGATAATCTCTTTAGTCCTGCTGAAGTCAGATCCTCTTCATCGTTTACTGCATCGTAGCAAGGCTCTGGAGACAGGAACACACAATACGTTAGTTTAGTTGCTGAGAAAATGTAGAAAGTGATGACTCATGCACTTTAAAATCCCGAAAACGGCACAAAACACAAGACACACTCCACTCCAAAAAAGTTTCCAGGTTGAAAGTTAGTCCTATTGTGCACACTGCACACCTGTTAGAGGGGAAACAGAGGCGGGAAGATGATGGTAAGAAGGGAAATAAAAGTGGCTGATGGAAGCACTGCAAAAACAGGCACAAATAAATATGGGATGTACCTTTGAGGAGTGGAGCAAGGAGGGAACAGAGAGGGCAGGAGCAATGGGTGAGGAGCTGCTGAGAGAAACCAGACTTACTCTTGAGTATCACGGCTGGCTGGGGAGGGCGGGGGGGAGGGTCCTCTGGAAGAATAAAAGCGAATAGCGCCGCCGCGAAGGAGAAATAAAAGAAAAAAGAAGCAGCAAAGATAGAAAGGTTAGAAAATAAAGCAGGAAGCAAATGTCAGATTGTATGTGAAAGTTTGCCAGCAAGTGTTAAGAAAGATGAAAAGCAAGCTGGGGGCTATTTTCCAAAGAAAGAATCAACAATGTGGATGGAGCCGCAATGTTTTAATGAGGAATCTGATCATTGTATGAAAGGGACAATGAGCAGCGACCTGGTCATTATAGAGAAAAGGGGATTGTCTAAATTGACCAATCAGAATCGAGTATCAACTGCGCAGTGTAATAATGATAAACAATATAGGTATTAGCACCAGACAACAATGAAATGTATCTGAAATAATTGTGTCTTCATGCTGTTGAGGTTTGTTTTCATCAGTTACAGAATTAGTTTGAGGTGATGATCAGTGTTTGTATGTTTTTGGAGACAATGGTTTATCCTTGGTAAGATATATATTTCAAATGGTGATCATTATGGCGTGGTGTAAGTCTTGAATCAGAGCTCTTCTACTCACTTTTTGCTCGTCCTGGCAGATTTAAGGGCCGAGCATTGGGGTCCACACCGAGAACATCTGGAGGGTCCATGGGATTACCGAGGTACAAACTGAAGGGAAGACAGACAGATTTAATCACAGTAGTTGGATTTATAGTGATGCTAATCATCATCATTGTGCGATATAAATCTAGAGACCTCGCACTATTGTCTTCCTTTTCTGATTGCTCATGGCTGTTCCAAGGTTAGACTGATACTAGTGTCCCACACCAGGAGATCTGTGAAGGTAAGCTTCTGAAGGCTTCAATAGGATAAGATCTGAAATGAGTTTGGCGCGTAAACAGTGGCCGTTAAATCAGGCGCTTACTGAGACATGGCATGAGGCCATATATCTGTGGGTTATTCGTCCAGGGTAGATTTAATACCGTGCGAATGAGGTTGGTATAGAGACGACAATGATGGAGTCAAGTAGTGAGGGCCCAGGTCTCGTATATGACAATGGGCTCGACGGTTGTTCTGAAAAGATCGAGTTTCATTGCGTTCGTCAGGTCAGATTGCCATATTTGTCCAATTAATTGCATTGGAGGGAAAGATACTGATTCTACCTTGTTGGTGTCAAGTTGCAAAACGTTGGACATTTATAACATTGTGCTACTGCATCTATTGGTTAAAGTGTATCATTACAAATCATTCAAATCTAAATAGACTTTTACCACCAACTTTCAACATCGGTCAAAATTATGATGGATATTTAGAAAGTGATAAGAGACATTTAGACCATGTGAAACATTTAAGATAAGAGTAAAAGTAAAGAAGCCGGATCGTACTCGTCTATCCTGTCGGGGAAGCCCCAGCAGTGGTGAGGGTTGCTGTCTCCGTGTCCCGTGTGGATGAAGCTGTTCTTGAGGGGCCGGCTGATGTCGTGCGCTGACAGACCCGCGACTGACGTCACCACGTTTCTGGGGAACGGGCCCAGCTTCAGGGTGCGCTTGTTTTGACCTCGCCACCAGTAGTTCTCTGCTCTGAAAGACACAGAGGTGCTGAGGTTGAAACATGGACAGTCATTGACAATACAGATATTCTATGCAGCTAATAATTATTTGAATTAAAAGATAATAAAATAAGGAATAATGTCAGAAAATATAAAAAGATTGTCCATTCAAGTTTCTCTCAATTACAAGGTTATGTCTTTGAATTTTTTGTTTGATCAGTCCAAAACCCAAATATATTACTTTTAATATGATCATATTAAATAGGATAATACAACTAATAATCTCAATATTCGAGAGGCTAAAAACAGCATTTCTGCCATTTTTGCATTTAAAACTACTGAGACTAATTTATAAAAAAGAATGTGGATTGACTTATCGTTGCATCACTAACGTATCGTACACACGGTTCCGTCGCGTTGAAGCTTGCCGCTGGGCGTGTCTGGCTCGCGACCAACAACCAATCACATTAATCTCCCGCCCCGTACACACAAGCACGCGGTTTGATTGGCTAGCGCTTGTACTGGCATATGATTTGATTGGCTGGCGCTTCCGTCGACGTTTGAAAAGTTGAACTTTTCTCAACTTTCAGCGCGAGCAATGGAGGCAAAGCGACGCGACGGAACCACAATGCAGTTCGGCAAAGCGTGACGTCACCCCATTCAAAGTGAATGGGAAGCATCTCCGTTGAAGCACGCGACAGAACCGTGTGTAGGGTGCGTAATTAAAAATTAAATAATTTGGTTTAATAGCCATTGAACACCTTTTTATAAGTGAGCACTAAATAAGATTTCTGTTATTATTTAGTGAAAAGAGATGCATTTTTTCCTTTTAACAGTATTTATCAGTATTGATGTTGGCAGGTCAGTATGTAAGGTTAAAGTACAAATTTGTAAGAACGTTCTTTTAAAAAAAAACTTTTACGAGAATTAACACCCACCTCCCCTCTATGATGGTGATGACATCATTTATCTGGATGTGGAGTTTGTCAGGCTCGTCAAAGTCCTGCAGAGCACACATGTCTGTTGGCATGGTCTGAAAAACACATAAAACACATATGAGAAACATTAGACATTTTAACACAGCCCACATTTATGAGTGGGCCATAATGCAGCTGGTTTTCATAATCCTACCAGCTGAGTGTATGTTAGTATGAACTCTGCAGTGACTCCACTAGGTGGAGCTACAACTCCAGTCCTGCAAAGATGACTGCCGAGGGAAAAGTGGCCTCTGCACTGGAGGGTTATCCTCAAGTGTCCTTTGCTTAGTGGCTAAAAGTGGCTATATATACTTCTTAAGGGACAAAAATGACAGCTGTCGTACCTCCAGCAGGAACTCGCGCAGAGCCACAAAGGTGGGTCTGTCGTCTGGTTTCTGAGCCCAGCACTGCAGCACCACGTGATAGATTTCCTGCGGACAGTCTTCAGGCTTCGGGAGGCGTTCACCTTCTTTATCAATCTTGTGCAGGATCTGGGGTTGTTTTTTTTTGACAATGCAGAAGAAAAACAAAAGAAGACATTGTAGATGTGAATACATGTTACCATTCTTTGTGTCTGCTTATGTTACAATAGCTTTAAGATGTTTTTGTATAACTACTGTATCTTTGGGAAAAATAATGATTGTGTGAATGTTCACCTGGCTTCCGTTGAGGCCCAGCCAGGGCTCCTGGCCGTGTGTGAACATCTCCCAGAGAGTGACTCCAAACATCCAGGTGTCTGTAGCGTGGGAGAACGTTCTGGTCTTCAGACTCTCTGGGGCGCACCTGCAGCAGGACGGAATTGTTTTTTTAAACTTGAACCGTACATGTCTGAACATATTGTCACTTTAGACAGAGAATATTTTCCAGTTATTTAATGTAGCTACTTTCACATTTAACAAAATAAGCTCTGTATTTGGAAAATGTAGCCTTTGTGCCAAAGTAATCCTGCCATATTTTTTTTATACTTTTAAAAATACAACGTTTTAAAAATGATAATATAAATCACAGTTTAAGCTGTTTTATTTTTTAGGTTTTTTGGGGCCTTATTGTAGAGACAGAGTTGGCCAAGGAGGAATAGGGGATGACATGCAACAAATTGTTCCAAGCCGGATTCGAACCCGGGTCCTCCGCATGGGGTACCAAGCCCCGGTTTCATATTTTTTGGGGTAGAAATGTACTCTCAGATTGTAGGATCCCTTATTATTAACATCTTTCATAATCGAAGAAGAAAGTCACTCCTTCAAAACAAGTCATTTTAGCCTAAGGTAGGTATGAATAAAATAGACAGGCAGAAACAGAGGCACACACATTTCAACTAATATTACTTACAAACATATAATAGAATACAATAGGTTAAGTTTTAGCCCAAAAGGAAAAAGAGTTTGGGCCACTCTGATCTATATGAATGAAGGCAGCAACAACTGAGATTTCTTGATCAATGTAGAAGTTTGCGAAAGGAAACCTTTCAAATAAGAACTATCAGAATGGCTGGAATGCAGCCGTGACCGATCAGATTTTTCTGTGGAAAATGTCTGCAATAAAATCAGACTCCCTCCCTAAACCCTCTCATATCCGTGCATGAAATGCATCCAAGTTCAGCTTTGGTTTTTGTGCTGCTCTCTCAGTCCACCCACCATGCGAAGGGGACCTTGCGATGCTCCTGCATGACGTAGTGCTCATCGTTGTTGGGCAGCGCCCTCATCAGGCCGAAGTCTCCGATCTTCACTCTGTGAGCCGAGGCCAGCAGGATGTTCCTGAAAGTCAAATGTTATAGCATATTATTGTAACTGCAATTTAAAATTACAATTATGTTGTATGTATGGTCGGCAAAGGCAAAATTCTTAACACACAAACACATTTTGACTGAAAAACTGAACATTTAAATCCTATACTGGTAATGCTGAATGGTCACAGCCCTAGCAGGCAGAGACACAAACAGATAATTTAGTTTACAGTCAATCCGATCCACATTCAGAATGTAATTCAGTCAAATAAAATTGAGTCCATGTGCCAGACAGTTACAGTACAGTTAACATGTTGTCCAAAGTGTGAGTAGTTTTCTGTTGTGAACATAGCCCTAAAAGAATAAGGACCTACTTCAGGTTATTTATGAAGGCAATAAATAAACCTAAGATTTATTAGGAATACAATTAACTGTGTTGTAGGTTATAACTTCACTTAAAAAAAGTCCTGTTTTTAAAACCAAAGCTTGAGAAATCCACTTAGTGTTTTGCAAAATAGCTGTGGGCAGTCATTATCATTTTATCACAGCCCTAACTGTGAAAATGACTTATTTTTCCCCATCGTTATGATTATTCTCAAGCATCTATGTGTAACAGTTAGGTGAAAGTTACTCATTTGGGCAAGACCAAGAGCTTAAACCACACAGTCCAGCCCGCCAACCTCTGACTCATTATACTGGTGGGCCAAGTCTCCCTGTAATAGTCTGTAAATCTCTGGGTGGGGAAGGAGAGGCAATATAAATAATTAAACATAGCAGTAAAAAATCCCTGAAAGAAAAATCGGTTTCATAGAGAATGTGAAAAACACGCTGTTTAAAAATACGTTTTTAACGTTCAGGGGCTCAAATATATAAAGGAGCTCGATTATGCTCATAATCAGGTTCATGTTTGTATTTTGTGTCTCTCCTTAAACATGTCTCCATGCTTTAATGTTCAAAAAAGCTCTTTATTTTTCTCATACTGCCTGTGCTGCAGCACCTCTTTTCACCCTCTGTCTGAAACCAGAGCCCAGTCTGCTCTGATTGGTTAGCTGGCCGGCTCTGTTGTGATTGGACAACCGATCAGATATGTCCCGCCCCGTTAGCCTATCATGTACAATGTGTTGGAGCGCTAAACAATAGGAACGCAAGTCTTACATCGTGATGCTCGGCCGTTTTACCCCCTATCATGTGAATGCAGCTCTAATCTGCAATGTATCTTAGTTCTGACTAGTGTTTGAACAATTCCGAACATTAAATGAAGACCTTATGTCCTCAGGAGGTAAACATTGAATGAACGTTAATTGAAAGTAAATTACAACATTCCGCCCGACCCACGACAGACTTGATGATTTGAAAACAGGCTTTGTGCTACAGCACTGCCTTTAAATTACTAAAACACGATAAAAAAATACACGACCACACGTTTCAAGTTGCTCGTACCTTGCTGCCAGGTCCCTATGGATGAACCTCCTCTGCTCCAGGTAGGCCATTCCACAGGCCACCTGTACGGCATACTGACACAGAGTGTGGATCAACACCGGGCCCTGTGGACGGACACACCGCAGACGCTCCAGCAGAGAGCCCAGAGGAGCCAGCTCCGTCACCTGGGGGACAAACAGAGGAGGAGAGGCATGTTGGGTGAAAAGAGCCACGTGGGAGTGAAATGCAAAAGTAATGAGGAATGGATGATGGTGACTAGAAATAGATAGAAGACTAAAGGAGGGAGTAAAAACAGTAGCTATCAATAAGCAAAAAACTATTGTAAGTGCTATAAGGTACAAAAGAGAAGAAAAAAATATTGGCCAAGAAAACGGAAAAAAAATAAAAGCAACAGGAAATGACTAAAAAAAGCCTTGAAATGTCAGCCCTTTATTTTGGTCCTCGGCCCACTTTCTCCCCACCCTTCCTGTCTCCCTTCTTCCCTCTATCACTTCTTCCTGGCATAACAAAGGCCTTAAGGCCAAGAGAGTCAAACACGTTTGTGTTAAGTGTGTGGATCTAAGTTGGACTACAGGCTGACTGATGTGTGTTTATGGGTCCCTTTGGGTGTGTGTTTCTGTGTGTCCACTACCATCTTCATTGGGTGTGTGAGCACCACACCGTAGAGGCGGATGAGGTTCTGGTGGTCCAGGGAGTGCATGGCGTTGACCTCGCAGATGAAGTCCTCCAGAGCGTCGGGCTGGTTGAGCACGTCTGTCTTCAGACACTTCACAGCTACGTTCAGCTGGAGACAAGGACCAAGATTTAGATTAAGTAGATTCCAAATAATTAACCTTTTCCCCACATGTTTTTATCATGGCAAACCTAGGCCCTTCATGCCAATGATGTTATTGAATAATAATAATATTGGACATTACATGCAAATGAATATGATTACGTTTTTTTACTTATAGCATGATATATAGACGTGAACTTGATTATTTTTTACTGAAAAACCTTTGACATAAGAATGTCACCAACATTGAATTTGCTGTTGCGTTTGTGTGGTTTTATTTTATGAATATTTTCAATAATTAGGAAGTTAATAACTAATTGAAAGGGTGTATTTGCATTATATTTTCATTAGATCAGTGGCATAAAATGTCCCTTAATCTTAAAAGTTTGTTAGTTTATTGTAATTATTCCTCGTCCAACAAAAGTTTTTTTTAAAGTATTCATTTATAAGGCTTGGGCAGAAGCATTTATAAACAAAATTCACTCAAACATCAAGACAGTTTGAGTACCCAGATTGATTTGCCTGCTTTTTTGTATTCTTACATTAGCACAAAATGCTAACTAGCATTATGTAAAATAACTATACCAGTGTTCCATGCCCCAGATCCTTAATTAACCCCATCAACATACAGGAGTTTCTTTATACTTAATGAGTGAACTATTTCAATCTCCTCACCACCTTCCCCGCAGGCGTCAGCCACTCTCCTCTCTTCACTACTCCAAAGGAGCCGTCGCCCAGCTTCTCGAACAGCGTCAGATCCTTCTCCGGGATGAGGCAGGTCAGAGTCTGCTGCTGCCCGTCCATAGGAGCACCACCACCAGGCTGTGTGGACAGGACTCCCTCCCCCAGGCCCAGTGGGGGGGTGGGAGACAGCTTACGGAAGGAGGAGGCCGGCTGGCCCTGCTGGGGGAAGTCTCCTCCGTCTGGACGCTTCCCGCTAAACACCTAGGGGGGGGGGGAAGAGAGAGAACACATGAAGCTGGGTCTGCAATGAAGGACGCAAAATAGACATATTGTGTGTGTGTGTGTGTGTGTGTGTGTGTGTGTGTGTGTGTGTGTGTGTGTGTGTGTGTTTAGGAGAAACAATGTGGTGAAATAGTGTCAAATAATTATTAATAGTAATTAAAAGGCCAATAGAGTAGTGAAGGAATGAGTCCTAAAACCCATACAGTAGATGATATTAGAATTAGCATAACATTAGCATATTAGCACTTCGGTCCCCTCGTCTCAGAGTCAACATCTTTTTAAAATAGAATAGACTTTTTGGTTAGATGCCTGGAATAAGGTCTAAGGTAATAGAAGCATTTCAGATGTTCAGGTTTTGTTATATCAGTAAATACCCCACTTGTGAATGTGTAAAACTTTTATGTTTCTTAATGGCAGTTGCTAACATGTGACTAAAGAAGGAGTGTTGGTGCTAAATCAATTGTAAACTCTATGTAACACTCACCTCACACACACACACTTATCATTATTGGGGATAGAGACATTTCCAGCCTCTTGGCTTAACAGAGCAGGAATGACTTAGCAGTTAGGAAGTACTCATTAAGAAGCACGATTAGATTAAGTGACCTGAATGTATCCATGTGTGTGTTTTTGTATGTGAGCTTCCCCTGAGTTTTAACCGATACAATGTGTGTTCTGTGCAGAGCCATTAATGAAAACCTTTGTTTTGAGGCCCTAAATAAGACAGTTTGCCAAAATAAGAATGTACATAAACCTGTAAAAACACTACATAAAACTGTTTCACGGAAAAAACAAGGGTTGCGTCAACATTGCTCCGTGGAAAATTGGATGTTGGCCGAGTGGACCCTAATTTTTGCTCAGATGGTTTACTCTGATGGCGTCTGATGACTAAAATGATTTCATCATGCTAAGAACAACCCAGATCAAAATAGTTTACCGTAAAAATGCTGACGGTGATTTATGTGCCAGTTTGAAATTCTTGGAAACATTAATGACGTTAAGTGTACACAACTGAACAAAATATATTACTTGTTATAGCAAAGGTGCAGTTGAAACAGGTGTTTCATTTCCCCAGAAAGTTGAATGAGACCAACGTGAACTCATTATTGGCTGGCAAACAAAGGTCAGTATTTAGAAACAGCACCGTCAGTGAAAAAGAGGTGTCGACGAATGCCCGGTGCCCGACATATTTGACTGGCCCCGATATAAACAGTAGCGAGCGGTGTGTGGTTTCACATTCACACCGGACCAGACATGACATAATGCTGCAGACCTTTTTAAAAACACCACATCTCTGTGGTCGCTGTGTGGTAAGTGGGTTTCAAATAGGAGGCTCGACATTCAAAAGATTCTGAATATGGCAGCGCGTGAACACACACACATGCACAAACACACAGACACACACACACGTAGGGGGCTGAGGAAGCAGATCGCTCTAGCAGAGGATGGTGCCAGAGGCGGAAACAGACAAGTGTAATTATAGAAGGCAAGCACCGTCCTCTGGGCACTGAGACTTCAACTGAGAACAGCAAAAACACACACACACCCTCACACACACAAACTCCCTACTGCCTCAGTTTTAAACCTTGTATGTGTTTAGGTATATATTCCATGAGCGTGTGTATAAGGTTGCTTTAACTTTTTCATAAGCAAGGTTTCCATCCGAATGTTTATGCATTTTGGGGTTTTTCCTTTCCTGTAGTGTGTTATGTCATTTTTTGTGCATGTAAATGGTCTGCAAACGCTAAATTCTCAAAGGGAGTTTCTCTCCCACACCCCCCCCTTCCTGAAACGCCTCCATTGGACTCCTTTGTTAAGTTCCGCAACATAGTGACATCACTACGTAACACTCATGTTTCTATTGGCTAGCGCTCCACCACATTAAACATGATAGTCTAAGGGGCGGGACATCTCTAAGTGGTAACTAAGCATAAAAAAGGTTTTATTCTTGTGATATTTCAAGATTTTAGATTTGTCTTAATTGTCTGTGTTTCCACTCAGGTTTTTAATGCACAAGTTGAAATCAGAAAGAGATGGATGGGAATGCACCTTCACACTACTGTACTGTCTCTTTAAGGGATAAACTTGATCAGATCATATCATCTGTACAAGGGGAAAGTTTGTGCCATATTGTTCATCATGAGTGTGTCTACGCTAGGACGGAAATACAGACCATGGCGACACAACGTTAAGCATACCATGTACCATAATATATAAGTACTGTGTGTGTGTGTGTGTGTGTGTGTGTATGTGTGTGTGTGTGTGTGTGTTTCCTGTCTATGTCTGTCACCTTGCTCATCCAGGACTTGCGCTTGCACATGGCTTTTCTCCTTTTCACAGCCTCCCACAGTCGTCTCTGTCCTTTAGGAAAATAAAAAAAAAGAACAAGAAATATTCAGTGAAGGTCAGCAGATGATCACAAGGACAAAGACAACAGCTTATCTCTCTGGGTTTAAGCATCAGGAAGTATCTTATGATCAGTTAAGAGTTTACCTTATAGAAGGTATCATATACGAAAGGTGGAATATTTAAAATTCAACGTAGTCTCACATAATTGGAAGAAATAAATACACGCCTAGATTTAATATGAAAGGGGAAACAAATACTATACTATATGCAAAGAAATAGGAGATAAAGAAATACAACATACAAAATATATATGAGAGCTTACAGAACAGTGAGCTAAGAAGTGATGAATATACGAGCAGGAGAAGTGGGTGTAATTAGTCTTAAGCGGCTCGGTAGAGGAGCCCCTGAGGGCCTCAGTGACTGGATTTGAAACATCACACTGCACACAATAAACTTGTGACTTAAGAGTCCCTTCCTATTGTGGCCAATTACCGGTTGTAAATGAAATAAGGGGTGTTAGTGATGGAGGATTTGCTCGAGCTATGCTGAGCACATTACACCCGACAGAAGTAAAACTTGAGTGCGCCCAATAATATGAAGCAGTTAAGGCTGTACAACTAATCACATTTTTTTTTTTTATTGCAATATGCTAAAATATTTAGATGGCAGGAAGCTCAGTGTTTGTTATGTCCTATTTAGTGCACATGCGCCAACCGTGCATGCAGCCTTTTGCAGTTGCTCCTGCTATATTTGTATGTTTTTCAACCTTTATTATTTGACCGGACTTGTTATTTTTCTGCTATTCATTCATTTTCAGTATGAGTCTGAGTCTTTAGAGGGTGGGTGCTGTTGAAGACGTCCAGTCTTGTAATATGCCGTGCCTCAGAGGCTGTCACTGTGGTTACAAGGACTTTTATTGCACAGTTTTTACTTCATCTTGTGTTTATATAAATATTTATTTATTTTCTTCTTATGTGCACAAAACCTCATTTGCATCTGAGATTAATTAAAGGTAGGGTATGTCAGTTTGAGAAACCGGCTCGAGATACACTTTTTGTTATATTCCATGGAATGCTCTTAACATCCCGATAGCAATGAATATCTTAAGTGCTTTGACAAAAAATCCATAAAAAAATATCATCTGTGGAAGCTGTAATACTGTAAAAAGCACGACCAATCATTTTAGCCGGCCCGGCTAAAATAACTGGATGGCCTACCTGCCAGTCAGCCTTCCATCTGTGCACAAACTTATCTCGTGCCCTCATTGGTCATGTGCGTGTTCGTGTGTGTTGGAGGAGGGGCTCTGTAAGGAAGTGGCAGATTTTCTCCGGTCGTGTATTTTCAAATTCTAGCGATCTCGAGCCGGTTTCTCAAACTTACCTACCCTACCTTTAAGTATTTGAATTTATTCATTATCAATGATTAATGTATCGCGAAAGAAAACTAGGCCTACAAATCCTATTCAACAGACAAAAAAATAAAAATAAATAACCACACAATAATTATTTAATATATTTTGCCATAAATAATGACCGAGTTGTCCTTCAATATATGTGCATTTTATCGTAATTACGATATCAGTCAAAATAATCGCAATTCGTTATTTTTTCCCGAAATGTGCAGCCCTAGAACCAATTAGTGATGTTACGTTCGTGAGCGATCCGATTCTTTTGAACGGCTCTTTGGTAAGAACGAAGGGAACCGAGTCTTACTTGGTAAGAGCCGTTGTTTTTATCGTTGGTTCAATGCCTATACCCCAGGCTCACCAAGCTCATGGTGGAAAGGCTTTGCATTGTGGCAACGTCAGTTCCCTCGGAGAGAATATTCTCCAAGACTGGACAAATGTTCTCAGAGAGGAGAAGTCCTCAAAAGTGAGGAAACTTGCTTTTCTGAATGCAAATTTGCCAGTTAGTAACCCTGCCTCCTTTTCTTTAAAACGGCTCTTTTGAACGGCTCTCGGAAAGGAACGGAGCCATAAGATCCGGTTCCCTTCAAAGAGCCGTAATTCCCATCACTAGAACCAATGTGTAGAAGGAAATACCAATGTTGTGTTTTTTTAAGGCATTTAATCATGGACATTTTAACATGTCCTCTTTTTATGCTCAGTTTAAGTGTAATTTGTCTTGGTTAAGATTATTTTCAAGAGCCTAGCATGACTGACACAGAATTTGGCCTTTGAGTAGACTGATCACAGATGTTTAAGAACTCATACTGTGCAAACAAACTTTCTCAAGTACAAAACAACCTGCACACACACACAGTTTCTCACCAGGTCGACCCATGCCAATTTTCTCCAGGTCTTCATTCTTGACGTAGTCGAAGTGTGACAGCCGCGTAACGTTAAGGTCATCTCGGATCCGCAGGAGGTACTGCTGCAGCTGCACCTCCATCAGCAGCTCCAGCAGCCATTCTGTGCCTTCTTCACACTGCATGCTACTGCCCAGTTTCTGTAAAAGACCCACAAAGAGCACAGGAAACTGAGTTCAATGTTCTTTCAACACATTCTTAAATGCTTGGTCCCACAGCTATTGAATACAGTTGAATAGAAAGTCACTGAGAAACAATACAACTATTCTTTTCTGTAATAAAAGGAGAGGAAACTGAGCGCTCAAGTAATTGTTTACAGCCCACTGAAATACCTGCTTGGACTTAAAATCCACAAGCCATTATTAAGTTATTAGATGCTATTTAGGGATGCAGCGAATAGTAAAGAACTTCAATCATAACGCTTGAATTTCAAATTCTAAAACCAACATTTGAATGCTCTGCAGCTTATTTTTTTATTGTTTCTATCCATCAACCCTATTTATCCTATACACTCAAAAATACACACACATTTCGACACACAACCACAAGCACACACTGCAGACTGGGTTGGCCTAATTGACCTCATATAAACAAGGTCATGTTGGGCTAAATATAGCATTAGCTGCTCGTCAGTGGTTCAAAAACTGACAACACTTATTTACTTAGTAATAAATAGGCGTTGATTACATAGATCTTGTGTCATTTTGGTGTTAACACCCTTTTAGTCAAAACTATGGTGGCCGACAGGTACAAACACGTTAAAATGGCCCGATACACTTTCATTAGGAGAAATGCGCAGCGGTTTCCAAAAAAATGATGCAAATAAAAAAAACACAAATGGGCCAAAACACATGCAAATGAAGACAAATCTTCTCCAACTTGATAACACATTCGCAGCATTTAGAAAACATTAGACCATTTGACGAAACATGCCCAGCGTTTACTGCATAAACGAAACGCTGCAAATACAAAAAAGGCTACAAGAAGCTCAAAACACAACTGAAACGGGGACACTACGGAGTGCTTGTTGAAGTTTGGGGATTATAAAGTTGGCCAACTGTCGCCGTCACTAGAAACTTAACTCAAATGGACGTTTTATTGGCTTATTTTAACGAAGTGATCGAAAGATGATTACTTCCGATATAATACAGATCGCTGTAAGCTAGCTAACTAACGTAGCTAACCTAGTCATTTCAAGCATACTGACAAAACCCTTACTTTTATGAAACAGACTAACTCAGTGACAGTTGGCCAACGTACAGCACGTTACTCCTAATGAAAGTGTTTTCGGGCCGTTGTAGCGTGTTTGCACCTGTCGACCACCGTACAATAACTGCTCTCGAAAACAAAAACGGATTGATACATGAGATGAATAACACACATCTGGTATCCATAAGTGTCAGTAAAGACAAACGGGAGGCTCCCAAATAATCTGACCACAATATATACACTGTACTACACTCCTCCATAAGACAGAGTCAGACCATCTTCAACGTCAAAACAAAACACCCCCCTTAAAAAATCATCAGCCACCGTCTTCTTAATATAACAACCTAAGACAATTTAAATGCAATTCCTTTTAAATCCTGATGGGCTTTTTCAAAAGGACATCGCAGTTGAATAGAGAGTAAATCCAGTAAAGAACTTTAAAGATAAACCACTTCAAAAGCTCATCTTCTGAATTACACCTGCTCACACGGCTCCACAGTACTGTTCCCATTCTCATTGGGGGAAGTGTCACAACAAAATGACAAACATTCCTAATCTGCAGAGACTGACAGGGAGACCTTTAGGGTGGAGGCTCCGGGGCGTAGGGGTCACTCCACTGAGTAGCAATTACACCGAGTGAATGAGGAACTTCCTGTGCTGGGATAGGCAAGGTTACAAGGTCCAGAGGAAAGTGTCAGAGGTCGTGGCTTCCTTTCCGTCATTCAAACTTCTTAATGGGCTCGGTTAGAGGTCACTTCCTATTGCTAAATGACCTGTGGAGTTAAAGAACGCCTTTCCAAACACACACCTAATATTGGTTGTAAAAATCTACTGTGTCTACTGTGCCTTTATCAGAGTGAGTGGTCCTGGATTTTCCCATGAATTTGGGATGCAATGAGGCCGTTCTGCACAGAGAACTCAATCCCCGATGGTTGTGCCAGATGTCCGTATCCTGATACAAATTCATTGCAATGCAAATTAAAGTGGGTCAGCTGATATCTCTTTAGCCATGTCTAAACATGCGGCTTTGGCTCACTAATGGAAAATAGTCCACTTGAAGAGAAATCCTCCGTTTCGAGCTTAGCAGGTAAGCCCATTATCAACCAAACACAATATAATATAATAACCTGTGAGATCCACTTCATAGAGATGCAGGCTGCACAGAATGCCTGTGGCTTTAGGATTAACTACAGTTGGAGTCACGTGAATCCGTCGCCATATTTTGCATTTTGCTGCATCATGCCTGACCCCTACTCTGAGAAAGACGATACAACCGTCTGTTTGGCTGTTCCGCTTCGCCCTCAACTGTGCCAAATGCTCTTCTACCACAATCATTTCAACCACAATTAGGAGTTTAGATCCAATCAACATATTGTGTTTGCATCCAGGAAAGAAACATATTTTTTTAAAGCGCGCTATAGTCCAATATGGGGCTTAACTTTATTTGTCCTCCACATTGCAGTCCCGAGTCTGGTCTTCCCTGGCAGTCAACATGCAAGTGTTATTTCACTTGACGGTGCCAAAAACGCAAGTCAGCTTCCTCTTGGGCCTCTTTCCATGACAGTGTCATATCTGAGGCATGAGGGGTCAAAATCAAGGTGCTTGAGCCCCTCATATCAGATTACTCTGTCAACTTGCTACCCAATTTACAAAACTCATTAAAACAAGATTTTTGGAGACAGGTGCTGCTCAGACGTTGTGTACAGTTGTCAAACGTCCACTTGTAAAGGTGGGTCAGATAGGTTGTGTCTTATGACAAAGATCATGTATTGTTGCCAACCAATATAGCAAATAACATTTGGGAAAATTGTACGTTTTTTGTTATCTTGTCATATATTAGACATCTTGAGCTGCCTATCTTGTTTTTTCTATAATGGAATGCAGAGGAAGAATCACGTTATGGAGGTGTGAGGTCAGCAGGAGAAACACTACGTCCAAAGTCCTTTAAGTGTGACTTGTGGCAGGAGTCTGAGGAATCCATCAAGGGCCAGTATTAGGGCTCTTAATAATGTCATGTCAAACCTTTCTAAAAATGTTTAAAGGAAAATGAACTGTGACAAGTATAACCCAATTAGTACCCAGTACAAAATCAAAGTAATACACACGACACAAACAACAAGTTTGATACAGAAAAAGGGGAGAGGTATGTAGGGGTTCAGATGTGGAATAACAACAACATGATGTCCCTGCTGAGAAATGCCTCTGGTCTGAACTCATTCCTCATGGTAGTGGACACACACACACACACACACACACACACACACACACACACACACACACACACACACACACACACACACACACACACCACACACACACACACACACACACACACACACACACACACACACACACACACACACACACACACACACACACACACACACACCACACACACACACACACACACACCACACACACACACCACACACACACACACACACACACACACACACACACACACACACACACACACACACACACACACACACAACACACACACACACACACACACACACACACACACACACCACACACACACACACACACACACACACACACACACACACACACACACACACACACACACACACACACACATCCTGTATCAGATCAGTTCTGCTTTAACATCCTGCTGCAATAACAACAACTGTCCCGAGGATGGCCCTCAGTCCAGCTGGAGAGCTCACACACACACATGATATTCATAATACAAACGCTATGTCCAAACATCTGGGAGGACCACATGATTCTGACTAAAGTTCCAAAAAATCCATGTCATATTTCATAATTATAAAAATCCTCAATGGGCCAGGGATAGCAGTCATCAGACGGACACCAGACTTACTCGATATACGTGAAAGTGTGCCAGGAAGGGGAATGACTTTTTCAGCTTGTCAAAGCGCCGCATCCTGAATTCCTTCGTCTGGATGAATGAAAATAGAAAAAAATGTGTGCTTCTAAAATGCCAGAGGTGGCTGCTTGTCTCTTATACCATTACCAGAGATACAGTTCTTCCAATTTGACGTTTCCAGTCTATGAGGGGATTCCAAGAAGCGTGCACGCTCCTCAAATCCAAAGCCCAGAACCCAAGAAGAAAAACTTCCTAAGATCCTGGAAGCAAATCTCCAACATTCCATGGCGGGGCAAAAGTCCTGTAAGCCCCTTGTTTGGTCAGCTCCCTCGAGAAGGCAAACAGGCATCCATGCAGCACCTCAGCATGCAAGAGATTACAATGATCTTTTAATATTTGGGAAAATATGTGTAAAGAGCTGCTGTTTGTAGAAGAGAAATCCTCTGAGCTTTGCCCTGTGCCAGTCACAGCCATGTGTCCCCTTCAGACAGCAGCGAGCCAGTGATCCAAACTTGCAGAACTTCAGAAATAAGTCACTCCTCCTTCCTCCCTTCCTTTCACTCCCTCACAGACACAGACTCCCCCTCTCTGTCTGTCTTTGCGCGTGCAGCGACTGTCTGTTTGCTTTTCCATCCCTCCATCGAGCATGGGGCTAAATATAGGAGCGACTTCTCCCCGATTGAATCGCTTGCCAGTCGGACGTGAGAGCCAGGCCGAGTGACTGTCTCTGGTTTCACATTTTAGGGCGCAACAAGATGTTTGTCTGCTCGGTTACAGAGAACAGCAAAGTGTGATTATGCAACTTTCTCCCAAAATGTACCCCCTTTTCCCACCTCCTCCCCCCCCTATCTTTCTGCCCCCTGCAGTCAGGCCGGCAGTCCGTGCAGCGCAGAGCAGTGCGTGGTGCGGAGGACAGAGGCTTCATGGTATTCAGCCCCGAGGAGCATTTGATCCAGGGCCAAAGGGTCACATTCAACTGCAGGATGGAGAGCTTGTTTCCTGTGATGCAACCCCCAAATACACACACGAATACCCAGGCCCACAACCTCTTCTTCCCATTTTCCACCACTTGATCTC